TCCAGTCAGTGGAGTTATGGGCTTCGCTAATCGCTCAGCCAATCATTACTAGCTATATGTACGCCAGACCACGTCTCGCGTAACAGGCTTCGCGATATCTCACGAAACACTGTTACGCTGCGACGCGCCTGGCGCACATATAGCTAGGCCTGCGGCGCAGACACCCGAGACGAGTGAATGGGAGTGTATACATCGCGAAGCCTGTTACGACGCGAGACGTGGTCTGGCGTACGTATAGCTAGTTCATGTTACGGAAAGCTATGGTTAAAATCAAAAACCAACGAAAATCAGCAAATTATTGGCTGAGCGATTAGCGAAGCCCGTAACTCCACTGACCGGAAACGTTTCATTCTGTTTGTTTGTTTGTCTGTATGTCTGTCCGCACGATAACTCGAGAAAGAATTGATAGAGCGATCTGAGAGTTTTAGGGTCGCTGTATATCATAACTAGCTATATGTACGCCAGACCACGTCTCGCGTAACAGGCTTCGCGACATCTCACGTAACACTGTTACGCTGCGACGCGCCTGGCGCACATATAGCTAGGCCTGCGGCGCTGACACCCGAGACGAGTGAATAAGAGTGTATACACAATTTTTTGATATAAAGCCTTTTCTACGGTTTAATAGACCATTTGGTCATTTTGACCACATTTTTGTCCAGTGATGCCCCCTAGCACCCAAACGGTACAAGATAAAGCAAAACGGACGAATTTTTCGGCCAGAAGGCTCTACTTTCACGAGTTACCCCCTAGGGGCCCATAATAAATATGTGAAAAGAATAAACATTTTGCATCCTGTGGTTTTTGATTTTTTATAAAGTCAATTTTTGCGCTAGAATGCTCATCTTCGAACTCGATCTGTCTTTTCGTGATTCAAAACGACCCTAAAATTCCCAGATCGCTCTCTCAATTCTTTTTCGAGTTATCGTGCGGACAGATGGACAGACAGACAAACAGACAGAATGAAACTTTTCCGGTCAGTGGAGTTATGGGCTTCGCTAATCGCTCAGACAAAAAGACACATCGAGTTCGCAGATGAGCATTCTAGCTCAAAAATTGACTTTAAAACTAGCTATATGTACGCCAGACCACGTCTCGCGTAACAGGCTTCGCGATATCTCACGAAACACTATTACGCTGCGACGCGCCTGGCGCACACATAGCTAGGCCTGCGGCGCTGACACCCGAGACGTGGTAATAGGAGTGTATATACAATTTTTCGAAATGAAGTCTTTCTAACGATTTAATCGACCATTTGATCATTCACCTTATTTTTGCCAAGAAATGCGCCATAGCGTCGAAACGGTACAAGATAAAGCGAAACGGACGAAATTTTCGCCCAAAGGGCTCTACTTTCACGAGTTACCCATTAGAAGACCATAAAAAAAATTTTGAAAAAAATAATATTTTGTTACCTGCGGTTATTGATTTTTTAAAGAATCAATTTTTGAGCCAGAGTGCTCATCTTCGAACTCGATCTGTCTTTTTATGATACAAAACGACCCTGAAAATCCCAGGTCGCTATCTCAATTCTTTCTCGAGTTATCGTGCGGACAGACAGACAAACACACAAACAAACACACACACAAACAGAATGAAACTTTTCGGGTCAGTGGAGTAATGGGCTTCGCTAATCGCTCAGCCAAAAAATCAAAAACCCACAGGAGGCAAAATGTATATTTCACCGAATATTTTTTGGGGGGTTCCTAAGGGGTAACTCGTCAAAGTAGAGCCCTCCGGGCGAAATTTTCGTCTGTTTTGCTCTATCTCGCACCATTTGGGTGCTAGGAGGCACTTGTTGGCAAAAATAAGGTGAAAACGTTTAAAGGGTCTATTAAGTCGTAAGAGAGGCCTTATATAGAAAAAATGTGCAGGAAGTAATACTTAAACCACACAGTTGACGTCGAACCACACCCTCTTTTGGGCTTAAGGGTACCTAGATTATCAAGTATCGCTAAAACGTTGTTTTTACATGAAAACCGTTATGGACCAGCAGAAGTTTCATGTTTCATGTCCCTAATTTAAGAGTAATAAGTCCCCAACAAATGCTGTGAGTTTATCAAATTTTGGGGCCGGAAGGCCCTGTTCCCGAATACCCTCCCATTAACTCGTCTCGGGTGTCAGCGCCGCAGGCCTAGCTATATGTGCGCCAGGTGCGTCGCAGCGTAACAGTGTTTCGTGAGATATCGCGAAGCCTGTTACGCGAGACGTGGTCTGGCGTACATATAGCTAGTGTTAGAATCAACATTCAAATTTGGCTGGATTCGTAATTGCTGCGCGCGCGAAAACAATCACAATTCATATTTCAGAGCGCTGTGGTTCAACTTTAAAATTTGAGGCTGGGGATCACTTGTCAAGTGGACGGGCCATGTGGCGCCCGGTGCCGATTGAGCTATAAGTGGTTAGGGGATGGGGTACGGGGCGCGAGGCGAAACGCAGCTTGCTCCAAGAGGCTCAAGTGGGGGTCGGCT